TTCTAGCTGAGTAATGGAGTGCAAAAGACACCATGCACATATTCTCCCATAACAGCTTCCCAACCCTTCAGTCCTACCTCACAGGGCTCTTGATTCCTCCAAATACTGAGTATGTAGAAGACTGTCAACCATGGCTAAATGAGAACAACCTGAAGCTTTGCCACAGGCCTTCTTTACTGATGTAAAACTTTAGTTTGATACGGTCACAAAGACATGACACATAATAAATACAGAAAAACCTAATAGAAGACATGACCAACAAAAAAAAGCCATGGACTAACTGGAAAAAAGTGCTCCTTTCTGATCTAGAACAGATGACCCAGAAGGAAAGGCTGTAAGAATAGCCAAAGGATTTAAAACCATACCAAAAATCAGGGTTTGAAGAAGAGATTTCTTAGAGCAAATTATCTGGGGAGGCTGTGGTTTTGCCATCACTGGAGGTTTATTGAAAGAATTCATACAAGATTGAAAGAATTTGTGAAGATTAGTAAAGGGCAGTCTGATGTTGATGTCACCTGGCATACTGGAAAGTTTATTCCTTTGCACCTAATAAATAGATCTATTAATCCAATATCTTCCCTCTCTTAGACAGCAGGATTCTCTGAAAGAATCTCTCACTTGAATAATTTTGCACTCTTTCACATCTGCACATTGTATTGGCAAATAAGCCATTTCCAAAGGTAGATAATGAGTGTGGTTTTACTTCAGAAGCTGCACCCTGGCTCTACTGCTGAGCTATTTTCTGTCTGATTGATGAGGCACTCCTTCAGAGAGAAGTTATTTGGCTTTTTTTATCCTCAGATTATTGAAGTTCTTCAAGACTAACTCATGAAAGGGTTAACTGGTGAAAAGGATCTCTCTCACATGAGTTTTACCCACAGGAGGAAGGGCTACATTCTAAAATTCAGATGCTGATCATTGGAATGGAGAAGGTTCAAGACTTGTAGGCTCATTATGAAGAAATCTCAGCTCTTAGTGGCAATTCATTAAGTCATTTATTCCTTTGTTGCTCATCTAGGTCACCAGATAAGGGCACTGAATCATAAAGAACCAATCATGATTCACGCTGCTCAAGGAAAACAACACATCTGACTTTTTTCTTTTTTTTAACCTGGACAGCACAAACTACTTAAAGTATTCAGAAGAAAACAGTCAGAGATATTCTGTATGCACAGATAATGATTACAAATCAGTGTCTTCTCAGGGCATGACCATATGCTGTGAGCATACCTAATGACCATCTGGAACAACAGTTTGTCAGCAGGCACAGCTCCACCAGCTGTAATGGGATCATACTTCGTTGACCAAGAGCTGATTTTGGCCTACACGTTTTAATGGCTTCTTGAGGAGATGCTGCGTTTGTCAGGCTAGACTTTAAAATTCCAGAAGTCTCTCCTTGGAGAAGTTATTGGGTTATTCCTAACACCTCTCATTTCTCTTTGCTTTCCGTTAAAAGTAGATGGTCTGTGCACCTGCTGAGACAGTGAGATCCGTGCTGTGACCTGGGCATATCCACACAAGAACGGAAGTACAGAATTTCTACATTTATAGCAGTCAGCTATAAACTTATAAAGCCCTTCATATTTTTGATTGCCTTTCTCTGAAACTGATATTATAAAATGGGAAAAAAATTACTTTGATGTCTGCCTTAAGACCTGATATATTTTGATGCCTTCAAACACTGCAGCAATATCAGCCATGAACATGTGATAGTAGAGGCAAGTTGCTTATTGGTGTGCAGAACAGACAGCTACAATTCCCTGAGTAAAGATAGCAGTTCACATAAAAGCAACTGAGATTTATTAGGCTAAAAAACTATTTCTTCAACTACCAGAAGAGAGGAAAAATGTAGATTCTCCCTGTTAGTCAGATTTTTATTAGAATTGCATTTTTAACCCTGCACAGTCAAAAATCCAAGACTTTTACTCCATGGAATAAAGTTATTGCTAAAGTTAGGGGATCTTTTCTGCAGAGAAGAAGGTTCCAGGTTTGGCCAATGATACAGCTGAAAGGAAGGGGGCGGGTATGGACACTACAGAACAAGCACTATGACAAAATTTCTGCACATGCTTAAGTGAGATCACCTCCAGCACTTGCATATAATCAAGAAAGTGCCTACAAGGCACCAGTTTGGAGGAATTCCCCAAGTCCCTTGTACAGGACTTGGCATGCTCAGCTGCCTCTCATACTGCTGCATGACGTAGGGGAACAAGCACACTGAGTTTCCAAAGCTGTATTCACTTTGGGGTAACTGTACCTAAGTCTTTGGGACACAAAACCTGACTCAAATGCTAGCTTCCAACAAACTCCATAGCAAAGGTTACCTTTTCATTACTTGGCTTGTGAAACTATAGGCAAAAAATGGAGCAAAACTCCATGATAAGCCTGCAGCATATGCTTATGTCATTCTTACAGGAGCACACAGGCGTGTGAACACCTTTTCTTATCAGTTTTTATGTAAAGGAAGTCAAGAATCACAGAGCAGACTGTGTGTACAGTGAAGTATTATTTGCTATATAATGTAGTTGGTAGTATGAAATAAAATAAGACAGAACACGGCAAAAAAGCAGAACCATAATAAAGTAAAGCTACTTTTCTTTGCTTGTTTTTTTTAATCAATTTACTTAATAATTTATTTGCTTGGATTTCCATATTTGTGATATTCTGCTAATCTAGGAAATTATGCATCAGAATATGGGACAATCAGAAACAGATGTATTTATCTCTCAACATGGTGTTAGCTTACAGATATTAAACAGGTTTGCCAATTTGCCAAAAGATGCATATATTACATTATTAGGAATTTATTACTAATTAATGATAATGTTTGTGATCAGTAATGCAAGAAAGAAAAGAAAAAAAAGTTGTTTACATTTTCTACATTCCAAATTGTAGAGATGTAAACTTTTATCAAATATACTTTAGCAAATGTCAATAGAATTCTTTCATTGAAAAGGCAAAAAAAATGAAACTGGAATGAGATATATTTTACACCATGTACTTTTTGAAAAAAGTGATAATCAGGAACTCTCAATTACCCTCTAAAAAAGATTGTCTCCCCAGGGTTATATTTTTTCCTTTATCACTATCACAACATGAAGGAGTGAAAGGGTCAGGCAGAGGCATAGGGACTCTTGTGCATGTGTCCTGCCTCAGTTTGATACCCATGCCCCATGAAAAATGTCTTTTTGTGGCAAGATCATAGAATCATAGATTAGTTTGGGTTGGAAGGGAACTTTAAAGGCTATCTAGTCCAGCCCCCCTCAGTGAGCATCATTTGACCATCATTGACATCAACTCGATCTGGTTGCTCAGAGCCTGATGTACAGCATCGCGCTGCCCACGCCCCGCAGTGGGATAAGCCCGCAGCCATCCAGGCAGTGAATACTGAGCTCTCAGACCCAGCACGACCAGCAGATGCCACCTACAGCTGAGATTTTTCTCCCCGTTGCTGCACAACGATACCTCGAGACGGGATGTGACTTCAGATAGTTGCACGAATCTGTTTTCTGTGCTCCAGCACTTTTAAAACACCCTCTCAACGGTTCGCATTACCTGTCGCTTGCTGCCTAGATAGAGACGGTCACTCATTCCACTCTCAGGATCAAGCAAAGAAGAGTCACTGGCATCCCTCTCCTGCAGGGACCCGGACCCGCACCTCCCCGCTCCGGGAGTCGCACCGCCGCAGCCGGGCTGGCAGAGGTCAGTGCATCTTTTCTCCCCCTCCAAAGCGCTCTGTCCCTTCGGGAAGGGGGGTGTATCTTGCTTTTTGGGGAGCATACCAAAGACAGCAGCTCCCACGAGGGCAGGAACCCCGCGGTTTGCAGCCCCCTGGCCCAGACGCACTGCCCAAGGATGGTGGGGACAGTGACCGACCGGACTGCTGGGTTCCCAGGTGAGAGTTGTCACCTTGGGCTAGTCTGAGGGTACTCAGGGGTAGTCTGAGACTGAGCACTGCCCCTGCATGGCACTTGCCTGTGTGGGAGGAGGGAAGGAGCAGCAGGTAGGACACTTCGCCCTCGGTAATCTCCCTTTACTTCCATCAGATTCACAGTGGACAGCATATGTGACTTTTGTGGTTGGATGTGCCAGAGAAGACAGCCTTGAGAAAGCAGGGGTCTCGCCTTTTTTCCTTCCCCTTCCAAGTCATCCTCATCACCAGTGAGCCTGGCCACTCTCTCTTGTAGTCATGGAGAACTACTCCTTCCCTGAGACCAATTCCTCATGTGCAGACTGCACTGTGAGAGGGCATGGGGGTCTGAATATGTCCACTCCTCCACTTAGCCCCAGGTTCTACGTCACAGTGACACTGATGGTAGTTGTCATCTTGGCTGTGTGCCTGTTTTGTTGGACACCCTATCACCTTAGCACAGTGGTGGCCCTCATCACAGATATCCCACAAACTCCATTCATCATTGGGATTTCCTACTTCATCACCAGCCTAAGTTATGCCAATAGCTGCTTCAACCCTTTCCTGTACGCCTTTCTGGATGACAGTTTCCGGAGGAGCTTTCGCAAACTGATAGATCGCAGAACCACCTCATAAAGCCAACCCTCTGTCCTGTCATCTGTACCGCTCACAGTCACCTGCTTTTCCTGGGTGATTCCAGCCCAGAGAATGCTTTCTCTGCAGCCTCCTTGTGATTGCCTACAGGTCTTCAGGTTACCTCACTACCCAAGACATGCACTGGGAACAAGTGTATCTTTCTCAACTGTCCTGCACTCATTTCTGTAGCATTGCTTTCCTTGCTTTTCCTTTTCCTTTTCCTTTTCCTTTTCCTTTTCCTTTTCCTTTTCCTTTTCCTTTTCCTTTTCCT